CTGCCTTTTCGCTTCAGAAAGATGAATGTGTGGATTCCAGTACAATCATCTCTTAGACCTCCACTGTAGCTGATCCGCAAGTCAGAAAACCTGAAAATGACGACAATGATTGCTGTCATTTTCCACTGTATATTATGCTAACAAAAAGTAAGCCACTCTTTCCAACTGGGCGCTAACAAACCCTCGTGTTGACAAGCAGCCACCCTTTCCAATCTCTGACTTGTGTCAAGTACTGAACATGGATGCTTGCATTCGCTCCTAGAAAAGGCTGCAGATTGATCTTGTGGAGCATTTCTCGCAACTTCCTGGGATATGAAGGGTAGTTTGTGCAAGTGTCTTTGGTGGGCATTCAGTGGTCTCAACATATATCCTTCATATCAAACCCTTTTTCATAATAAACTAAAAATGGTTTTTGCAATTGTAGGTCTAAATGTCGTTACTGCATCCTCTGCATCTGCGATGAGGTCCACATACTTAAACGCTGTTCCGATTATACCAAACACCTGGTCCAACGGGCCGTGACTGTGGCCAACCCGATGATGTAGCATAGAGGTTGCTCTGAACTTGTATCGTGCGGCCAAAACCGAAAGATAACCCAGGGTTGTCACATTCTTGTTCTCGCGAACGGTGTTGTCGCAGAAGGCTACCATGTTTTTTGGTAGCTCTTTGGATTCATCGCGAAACTTCTCAACGCAACGTTCCAATGTTCTCGCTGCACACTCGACTGTGAGCGAAGCGTCTGCCGCAACCCGAGGGTCAACCAAGTAGACATATAATCCCACATGGTGACACCACACAGCATGTAATTTGATACGAGGTCGCTGAAACTTTGCAATTTCTTTTGTCAATACATGACCTCTCAATCTGGGTATCGCCCACTTGCTTTGGTCCATTCCGTCCTTAGAACTAATCCATGATGGTGTCCCAAAAGTTGTTCACCCACCTGCCTTCCTAGTTGCTATCAAACACTGAGTCAAACACTGACAAGCACAAAGTTTCTTGCCAGGCTGAGCAACCCAATGCAGCACAAGCGTGTCCACACCCTCTTTGAAAGGATCTTGCGTCTCAGCTCTCACACAGGTCAATCAATTTGTTTGACACTCATTGCACGATACTTGGATACTTGGATCAGAATCTGAAACCAACAAATGATTTCAATCAAGGATCCATGTAGTAGGTTTCAATGGCACGGTCCTTCTTCACGCCGTCAATGTGAGATTTGTACTTTCTGATTGCATTGAACTTGGCTTGGACATCCTAGGCCAAGCGACAGGTCTAGATCACATCACAGTTGCCTCGCACTGAATGTCATGTACAGCTACTTCGAAACTTCCAAATACATAATGTTCAATTCGTACGACTGGTGTGACCATGTGTCTTTTGCATCTTTATATTCTGTCTTGAACTGTAAACAGTCGTCGCAAGCAAGCTGATCGTTGATCGCTGCAAAGCCCATGGCTTTGTTCCATTTGGTCTTCCACCGTCTCCAGAAGTGAACATACCTCAATCATTGCAGGATAAAAATCGAGACACCTTGTCGGCAATACTCACAATGAGTATAGGTCAAGCCACGAACACTTCATACCAGATTGAACCCACAGCATTTTCACTGTTCCAGGAGGGAGAACACGATAGGGAAGGTGTTCTATGGCATCAGCGTTGGATGTATCCACATACCTTACTTTAAAGTTCGATCGGAATTCAATGCGCAGGAATGGACTATAAAAGCTTTGAGCGCTGCTCGTACATTCTGAAACTAGCAATGCTCTACTATCATCATGACAAGAAACCTCGACCAAAGAATCTGGTTGGACAGTGAGTGCAACTGCAGTTCTATGTCATCTTCAATTCGTTCCTTTGCATAGGACATTCCATCTCCATGGTCTATTGAGGAGTCGCTGTCAGATTCAGCATCACGTCCCCCTGACAAACAGTGGGTTCAGAGATGTGCGGTGAGTTTGGACCATACCATTGGAAGTCACAGTCTAGTTAACATTGAGCAATGATATCTCAGCAAAATACATAGGGCCTGCTGGAGCTGATGTGTTCAGAAGAGCAGCAAATGTTCGATCTCCAGATTCCTCTCTCCTTTGTCCACGTCGTTGGAACCTAGATCGAGCACCCACCACCTGCTTAAGCAACAGTAACATTACCCTATGAACTCGTCTCAAACAGGACCGTCCATTCTCACAACTGTTTTCTAAGCAACTTGGTCGGCAATAGGCCACCAGCTTCCATGTACATGTTCAAAAAAAACTGGTCTGCTGCCATGTTCTTCACAGGAGGTCGAGCAAACACCTGAGACCAATCAAAACACTTACCTCACAGATGTCAGAACGAACATTGAACATTTAATGAAACTTGTCATAATTATTGAGAAATGCATGTCATAGTTTGGTCTCCTTTCAACTTCATGGTCAAGGAACAGGAGCCCCTGTGCAGGCATATCTTCGGTCAACCCGAGGCTTCAAACCCATGCGCCTCTCATTGATCCCCAGGAACATAGCCAAACATCTTGAAGTAGTCTTGTACCCCAGGAACTTCCATGTCTTGCGACTCGAGCGCCCAGCACGTTTGACTTGCTCATTCAACTCAGTTCCGACCAGACCAATTAAATACAAATTTCCTTAACACCTACCTACTACTCAGTTGACACTCAACCTTTAAGTTAACTGCTAAAAGTTCACGTACATATCTTGCTGAAGTTTGGTGAGGTCCCAGAACACCTTGATATACTCATTGACATCAGTTGAAGTCTTCTGAAACTCCTGGAAACATCCTCTGTCGCATGGGCACGGCTTTGCAAAAAGACGTCCAATCCTTTTCCAGCTTTTCCCATTTGTGCAGTGCCTTGGTTTTTTCTTGGTTTGGGATTATAACTGTGTTGCATTCTACTATATTTTCTATTCTGAGTCTTTACCCCAAACCAATCAAACTCCAGAACAAACAATGTTCAATATATATTCGATTAGGTGCGCAATCCGGGAAGAGAGCTTTTTGTTCAATCTACGAAGCCGGTTGTCATAGTTGGGTCGAATTCTCGGTTTCGCAGCAGCCCGTGAGCCACCACCAGCTAGCATGTTGCGAGTAGCAAACTGATGCAAGGAGGCGAGCGAAAACTCCACGTAAATCTCCACAACAGGCTCAGCACTCTCCTCCCTCTTGGTTACAGTCTGCAATGGGTCCCCCCTTGAAGAAGAGGCTTTCTCACCAACAATGGATCGCAAAAACTGAATACGATCATTCTTTGATGCACTGCCATCGAGTAGAGGCTTCAAAGGCTTTGCTTTGCCTTTTGCTGGAGCAACCTCAGGCTCTTCCTTCGGAAGCCTCCTTTTCACACTCAAAAAAAACTTTTTTCTTTCCTCGCACATGCCTTGAGCATTGTGAAGGCTGCGTTAGTCACAAGCACAAACACACCCAGATCAACAACCCAGTCAACCACCAAACGTAACGAAATCACCACCAAACGTAACGAAATGCCCTTTAGTGTGTTTAAATATGTTTGTTATGTTGCTATTTTGTGGTGTTTCTTCCATGCAGGATTGAACCCCTTGTTCACGGCCATCGCCATTAGGTTGGAGGCCAGGGCCATTGCTATTAGGTTGGAGGCCATTGCTAATAGGTTGGAGGCCATTGCTATTAGGCTGGAAGCGATTGCTAGTAGGTTGGAGGCCATTGCTACTAGGTTGGAGGCCAATGCCATTAGGTTGGAGGCCATTGCCATTAGGTTGGAGGCCATTGCCATTAGGTTGAAGGCCCTTGCTATTGGGTTGGAGGCCATTGCTATTAGGTTGGAGGCCGTTGCTAGTAGGTTGGAGGCCATTGCTATTGGGTTGGAGGCCATTGCCATGAGGTTGGAGGCCATTGCTATTAGGTTGCAGGCCATTGCTACTAGGTTGGAGGCCATTGCTATTTGGTTGGAGGCCGTTGCTACTAGGTTGGAGGCCATTGCTATTACGTTGGAGGCTATTGCTATTAGGTTGGAGGCCAGTGCCATTAGGTTGGAGGCCATTGTTATTAGGTTGGAGGCCATTGCTAGTAGGTTGGAGGCAGTTGTTAGTAGGTTGGAGGCCATTGCTATTAGGTTGGAGGCCATGGCCATGAGGTTGGAGGCCATTGCTATTAGGTTGGAGGCCATTGCTATTAGGTTGGAGGC